GGATTATTTACACTATACAAATAATTATCCGTGTTTTTACGGATTAAGAATAAGGAGTGTCACCACCCCTATTCATCTTGTGGTTGTCATGAGAGTTGACTAAGGGAGCAAACTACACAACAGCACAGCACTGCAAAGAGAAGAAAAATTTTACACAAACCCTATACCAACTCGTCTGGCCAGCGTAGTAATGTAGGCCAAAACCTCCTTTCTAAGAAGAGGCCTATGTTGGTCAGTGTTCTATTAAGGGCTGTTTTTTATTGTGATATTTTGTTTTGTTGGATTTGTCTAGCAGCAGTAATTATGACAACAACATAATTGAAAAAAAATATATGTTAAAATGGCGTTGTACGCTGCTTTCAGTATACCTACATAAACATTTGTGAATCGTTATTCTATTGATTGTAAAACCTCACAAAGCTCGCCGCGTAAACTAGTAACCTATAAATTTTATATTGAAACCTGACTTCACCGGAACTCTTAGTGTATGGCGTTTCTTTTCCTCAAATTAATCACTAATGCATTTGACTGGCCTGTTAGTCTAGTGGTTGGTGACCCTGACTTCTACGCCAGAGGTCGTGGGCTCGATTCCCACCCAGGACAAATAATTGTGTGATGAGCACGATCCTTTTTTCTGTGTCTGGGTGTACTTTATTTATAAATATAAATAAGTATATTTATCAGCAGTCTGATTACCATAGTACAGGCTCTGCCTAGTTTGGGGCAAAACGGCCGTGTGTGAAAAGTGTGAAAATATATTTTATTATTTATAGAAGCGTTTAAAAATCAAGAGAATACTTTTCGCCAGTTTTTAATTCTAATTTTCAAAGTTCTTTTCTTGACTTTCACTTTGCTGAGACTTTTGCTACAATTGACAAGTAGCACTCAGCTTATATCATGACAAAATTAATTTAACTTGAGTAATTTAACTTTGAATTCTTAAATTTTTAATTCAATGCTAATATTATTGAGCTGAAGAGTATTGTTTGTGTGGTTGAACGCGCTAATCTCATGTCAGGGACTATTAGCTCTATTTAAAAAAAAAACTTGTTAAATAGCCCATTTATTGAGGAAGGCTATAGACTATATAACATCACGCCACGACTAATAGGAGCCAAGCATCAATGGTAAATGTTGAAAATTTTGAGAGAACGAATTTGAGCTCTGTCAGCTAGTGTTAAACATTACTGTAGTTTAAATTAGAATAAATCCTTAAAAAAAAAGTTGAACCGACTTCAAAAAATACTTACAAAGAGCACTAACAATATTTCAAATCTAAGTAAAAAACTATAATAAGTACCCTCAATATAACAGGAAACATAATAGCAATAGTCCCTTCTAGTCTGTTTGAAGTCGGTGTCAAGCCAAATAGGTGTTTGATAGGCTTGGTAGAATGTAGCGCGGCAGCTGCAACAGTCTTCATGCTGCGCAAAACATGCTGAACGAGCTAAAGTGGGTTACGCACATTTCCAATGATATTATTATTTGGAATGCTTTATTAAGTAGTTGATAAGTTTGCGCACGTAATTGATCTGGTTGGACAAAATCTGCGATGATTCATTAATTGTTTCAAAAATAATTTTAAAATAATAAAGAATTTTCCAAATCGGTATACACATAAAAGAGTTTTGAGGTAACAAACATGAAAATAATTGCGTAACCAACTTTTTTTTTGTCTAAATGTTTTGTTGTTACTCTCTTGTTCACATATCTCTGTAACTCAACACAAACACCTAACAAATATCTAAGGCTAGAAATAAAAGAGGTGGTCATTCTGGTATGCCAGCTAAAATGTATTTCAATGATTCTACAGCGGAGACTGGGAAAGAAATTGTTAATTTGTTCGCTGCTCACTTTTCGTCTGTTTATAGCTCACAAACACCGGCTCATAGTAGCACAATAGCTAATAACATAAATGCGAGTAGTACATTCATTGGTAAATTACATCTCACCGAAAACGAGGTTCTCCGGGCGATCAAAAAATTAGACAGTACTAAGGGAGCAGGCCCTGATTGTATACCTCCATTATTCGTAAAACGGTGTAGTTCAGCCTTATCTTTACCTTTGACGCTTTTATACAATCGCTCACTTGTTGAAGGAAATTTCCCTGAAATCTGGAAAAAAGCACGTATCCTACCAATTTACAAAAAAGGTAGTGAAGCTGAAGTACAGAATTACCGACCAATTTCTATCCTTTCCTGTTTTTCGAAGCTATTTGAAACCCTTATATACCCTTTGGTGTCTAATTTAGCTGAACCATATCTCTCTGATCATCAGCACGGTTTTAGAGCTGGCCGTTCAATTGAATCAAACCTTGTTCCTTTCGTCTCAGATCTGTGTCAACAAGTGGACAAAGGTTTACAGGTAGATGCTATTTATACCGATTTTAGTAGCGCGTTCGATAAGGTGGATCATGAGATACTTCTTCAAAAGTTATATAATTTTGGAGTAGGTGGTATCCTATTGAAGTGGTTCAAATCATATCTCTATAACCGACCGCAAACTGTTGAGGTATGTGGATATGCATCAGAAACTTACCTAGCCAAATCCGGGGTCCCACAGGGATCTCATTTAGGCCCAATACTTTTCCTGATATTTATTAACGATATTACTGGCCACATTAAGTATTCGAAATATGCACTATACGCAGATGATTTAAAAATCTATAGGGTCGTAACTAATGAAAGGGATGCTGCTCTGGTTCAAAACGATCTGAATAGTGTTACGGCATGGTGTGGTAGCAACCGTATGACTCTCAATGCGAAGAAGTGTTTCTTTATAAAATATTGCAGGAAGATGAAGCCACTTGCCACTAAGTATGAAATAGGTGGCGTGCAATTAACAGAGGTCCACGAAATTCGCGACCTTGGTGTGGTACTCGATGGTCGGCTAAAGTTTCACACACATATCGACGTAACAGTTAAAAAGGCAGCACAGTTGCTCGGGTTCTTAAAAGAAACACTGGGGAATTTACTCGGTACCAAACCAAGTTAATTCTTTACAACGCCCTGGTACGCAGCCGACTCGAGTTTGCCTCGGTTGTGTGGTGTCCTTTCTATAGTATTCACTCACAACGCATAGAGAGTATTCAAAGGTCATTCACTAGACACCTTGCTTTTCGGGCCACGAGTTTCTCACATAGGAACTCCTATGACCGTCGTCTTGCTCAATTTAAAATGAATAGCTTACGCGATCGGCGACAAATGTTGGATGTTTGCTTTCTGCATAGGGTAGTAAATGGTCAGTTGAGATGTAACGAATTGCTCGGAAAGATTTCAATATCCGTTCCTCACCACTATCCCAGACAACCAATACTTAAACTTTTCTATACTCCAGCATGCAGAACAAACCTTGGCTTGCAATCACCTTTGACACGAATTTGCTGCAATTACAATAATAGTGTTATTAAGAATAATGATCTCGACATTTTCCACATGCGCTTAACCAGTTTAAAATCAAAGTTATTGCCTAGTTGTACTCGTAGTAGTTTTTAGAAACCACTTATGTTCTTTTTTTTAGTTCAGTATTTATATTTAGTAATCATCTTTTTTTTTTATTTGTTATTGCTGCTATTTTTAGTGTTTCTTTTTTAAACAAAATTTCTAGTAACTGTTCCATTAGATCCATATTTTATCTCACTGTACTGATATTGTTATGAATGTTATGTACACCGTAATTGTTGTATATATCAGAATAATTACCATCAACTGAATGTAGCGTGAATTGTGTAATATATACAATGTGGTTGTACTTATTATAATAAATAAATAAATAAATAAGGCTAGAACAAGGTTAATACATGATTAGATTTTTGAAATAGTTATTTTCTAACTCCTAAAGTTCAAGAATCCTTCTATCATACTTAGTGATATACACTGATAGATCAGCAACATGACATGACGACTACTAAACGCAAATACCTATAAAGTTAGAGAAATAAGGTAAAACACGTTGTCGGGGCTGTAAAATTCGAGGGTTTAACTCGATTTCTCTAGGATCCCATCATCAGATCCTGATTTGGTGGTAATGAATTACTGATTTGGTGGTATTAAACCCGATTACAAAAAGAATTTTGAAAATCGGTGTACAACTGACGGAGATATCGCGTCACAAACATAAAAAAAATACAGACGAATTAATAACCTCCTCTTTTGTGTTTTTAAAAGTCGGTTAAAAAAACAGTTCACTCACACACAAACATTTATAAATTACCTAGTTAACACTATCGTCATTTCATTGAACTCTTGTGACTAATCAAAATATGTGTATGTCCAAAAACACATAAATATCGACAATATATGTTTTCTCATAATATAATTGTGACATCAATTACACGAAAGAGTCACAAGACATTCACTGCAGTCGTAAAAGTATAATTATCACACATTATTTAAATACCATACCTAAATATGCAAAAAGCTCATAATTAAATTATTTATCATTTGGAAAAGCCCAGAAAATTGGAGTTAAAGTACACAACACAACACATCAACGTAGTTTTAAAGTTTTATATCAAAAATGTTGCCATTTTGTTGATTACCAATGCTCAGATATTTTTAAGGTTCATTTTGTAGTAAATAGTATAAATAAATATATAATATAATATATACAAATATAATGTGAGTAACATGATAAAACTGTTTTTGTGATAACTCCTATTATAAAAGGTTGAATGAAAATTATTAGATCGTTCTTATAATTATACTAATTCAGCATCTTAAATAATGTTTAAAAGGTATGATTAACGATTTTACATGACTAGTCGTAAGAGAATACCTAATCACCTAAGAGTTCTAAGAGCGTCTAAGGGAGACAAAGTTACAGGTAATAAATAAACTTAATGCCACACAGTTATTTAGGGCCATTCATCTAAGAACTTCCATTTAGGAACTAAGAAGGCTGAAACATTGAAACCGCTGACTGTAGAATACTCCCTAAAGGTATGCTAGATAAAATATTTATATGATTTTCATCAAAAATATAATTTTCGGTTTCTCCATATGCGTCAGGATGGACAACAATGTGTGGTAATTTGTATTTAAAACGTAACAGCACGTGAAGCTTCGCATTGCTGTACGTGATTGTATCGGGAGCGAACGGATTGGTGTGTGTTAATGTTTTATATTTGCCGCCAGTGACAATGTGACATTGACTTTGGACTTATTTTTATTTTAGAAAGGTGAGATATATTTTTAAATTGTTATTCAAATTAGGAATTAGAAGAATATTTTCTTTTTTGAATAGAAATGGAAAAGAGGTCAGGCTCTATATTTTTATTTTAAACTGTTGAGTTTTGTTGCAATTTCGTTTTCTGGCAAGTACATTATGATTTTTAATCACAGTTATCAAATGATAATAAGAGATAATTCTATTATTATTATGTCGCTTAATCTAGGATCTTTCATTTATAAATTTGCTCAATTAGGAATGATATTAATTTTCTCAGAACGCATCTGTTTAAAAAAAAAAATCAGTATTTATTCACCACTTTAATATTGTTTGTTTCACACCTAACTGGTATACATTAACTTACTCCGGCAAATAAAAGTTTTGGCCTTAAAACAGGGTTCGGACGTGTCGCTTTCCAGTCCAAAGATTGTTAACAAAAGGTCTGCAATGACACATTGCCTCACTGACGCTGGCTTTTATTCAAATATAATTTATATCTCTAAACATAAATTACAATACAAATCAGTGACGGTCACAGAACTGCTAGAAATGTTAGGTTATGGCCCAGGAATTGTAATACGCCTGTACATTCATATAGGAAACGGATGAGCAGAGAGGAGATATATCTTATGTTATTCGTTTTACAAAGCGAGCCGATTGCAGACTATTAGATAGTTATACCTAAAGGTTCCTTGCTGCTAATGTTTTTTTTTTTAAATAAAAAGCTTCTAAAACCATAATAAACGCAAATCGCTTTATATGATATAATCTAAGATATAATTTAATTTTTCTCTGTGGTTTTAGCAACACCACCGCCCTCTGAAATTGTTTGATTAAAATGCGACGATTATAATGATTTTAGGTAAGTAAGGAACAACATTTCCAAAGTACTTGAATTATATTAAAGCTTTCTTTTATAAGTAATGAATGTTTTGGTTGTGTCTTGTCCGCAATTTGCTTTGTTTACGGAGGTAATTTGTTTCAGTCTTAACAACGGTGTTGTTAGTTTAAATGCAATGACTTTCAAAACATTAAAAAAAGCTACGTTCCTTTTCTACATTAAGTTTTACTTACAATATAGCTTTAGTTTTATTAAACTCGTACTTGACTACCAAATCATTTAGAGCTGTTAACTTTGTTGTTGATGAAAACTCTGCGTTGTAAAATATGGAAAAAATTTATAAATTCTAGTGGGTATAAGACTTATTTTATAATTGGGTTATAAAAAAATCCGTGTGGTGTCGGATTAAGAATACATAGTGTCACCACCCCTATCCATCCGTGGGTGTCGTAAGAGCTGGCTAAGGGAGTTAAGTACGCAGGACAACAGCACTACAAAGAGAAGGCTGTTGATGATGATATAAAACTATTCCAAACATTCTAAACTCCGAACAGGCTTACACATCTCAGACATGACCGTCTGATCCCAAACTAAGCAGAGTTTGTACCATGGTAACCAAACTGCTGCTAAATATACAGACAGATACAGAATAAATGATTGTGATCATTACACAGTTATTTGTTCTGGGTGAGAATTGAACCCACGACTTCTGGATTAGCAGTAGTCAGTGACTGACTACGATACCAAAACCCGGTTCCCATTACGACGCCCCCATAGATTATTTAGGATGCTGTTATCAAATTTGATCTCACTGACGTAATATAACTAGCTTAGAGCTTACTAATACAAAAGATAGTCTATTTTATTGATACATGCCTTGTAAATGCATACCATGTTAATGTGATTGCACGGATGGCGTAGTTGTTAAAGCGGTCACCTCGCCGCTTCCTCCTGCGCTGAGTGTTGTTCGATCCCCACGTGGAACGACACTTTGTGGGATCCACAAATTGTTGTTCTGAGTCTGGGTGTTCTTTGTGCCCGTTTCATGAATGTGTGTAAAGTCCTTATCTTTTTTATAATAATAATATATATTCAGTTTCATGGACACACGTGAGCGCCGTCAAATAAAAACCTAAAAATTAAAACTCTGATCTACTAATCAGAGGTCAGAAAATATTACTATTTCTCTCTTTACTTCATTAAACATACATATAAATTACATTTTTAAATATATTATGATACATAAAAAATAGTGTCAGGGACATTTACACTATTTACATACAAATAGAGTACCTTTTACTACCATGATATTGAAGTGTCTTTCTTTTTACTTAGCCATAAGTATCTAGCGATACTAAGACCTTTTATATGTCACTTCAGTTCAAATTAACTTGAACTGTCCTGAAGTATCGAAGCTAACGTTGCAGTTTCCAAAGCTTTTTAGCTTCTTTTAAAAAACAAAGTATTGTGTTATGATCTGTGTTCGTTTCGCAATTCACCGCTACGGTTTTCAGTGCGCTAAGTGCAATTCTAATTCTGCTGATAGCCTTTAATAATTAATGTACGGGCCTTGTGACATTATCGATCCTAGAACTACCGCGGCCCGCTTTAGTCCATAACCTCTTTGCTCGTTGAACCTTTGCCCGTATTTACGCTAAATACTTTTCATAGTGAAATTTTACGATATGTGTAATAATGTAATGGAACAATTTATACGATTTTGCAGAGGTATGTAGGTATTGTGTTTTTATTTTGTAGACAACTTCATTTAAATATATTAATGCAATTTAGATCTTAGACTAATAATAATTATTCGGAAAATGAATATATTTGATTAGAAAAATAATTCTATGGAATAGATGGCATTTTAATAGTATCTGCTGTGTATTGTATTTTACTGGTAAACAGGGTTGCCACCTAGAAAAAGGAATAAGGTTTTTAGTGTCACCAATAGTGTTGTGAGATACGTTTTTATGCGGATACGTTAAAATAAATCCCCAATCAGGACCTCAGTGTGATTTGAAAATAAAATAAAGTATTTCGTAAACATCCAGTTTAATATTAACGTTTTTTTATAAACGTTGTATTAACGTTGACAGCTAATGATTTAAAAACAATAAGTAATATCTTAGTAGGTGGGTAAACAGTAGGCAGTAGGTAGTACAACAGGTAGTAGGCCAAAACCTCCTTTCTAAGGAGAGGCCTATGTCCAGCAGTGGACTAGTAAAGGCTGTTGATGTGATGTGATTGTATATGAGCACACAAATACATGAGGGTATTTAAAATTGCATAAATTTAGACGACTCTTTTCTAAAGCAAAACGGTCTTCTCATCCTTGGTCATCTTTGAAAGAAGACCACAAGGATTGGAGTTAACATTCATAATAATATAAAATATATATTAAAAAAAATAGAAATATTCGGATGATCCCGAATTTTTTCTGCAAAGATCAGTCCCTAATGCCAAAATTTTTAACACGCCAATGTATTATTTTCCCGCCAAATTTATTACTATCTCATTATTTAAATATGAAAATTTTGTCATTTACACAGTTGTAGTAGAAAATGTTTTACAAATCCGCAACCTTTTGGCGTTGATTCGTCAAGAGTCCACTTCATACCACATGGGAGTAAACGAGTTAGTGTATTATGACACTAATTATAATAAACTGGTTCCAACTTTAAATTGCATTCATATAAGGGTCCAGGGCTCCCGGGATATCTGGTCGGTTCCATAGCGTTTATCCTTGTAATATTATGGACGGTAGGTAAGCTTGGATTTATAATTCCATTTATATTCGGTACGTAGACCAGACAGTTGAAATTGCACAAAACGTTATCAGTGCGGTTTTTAATTTAATTTTATGATATACTAGCTGGTCCCCGTGACTTCGTTGGCGTGGAATTTGAAAAGTCCTGCCTGCATGAGGCAAATTTTATACCTAGAGAAAAATAGGCTATATTACTCCTTATATAGACAGCTACCTGGTAGTAAAATATTATCAAAATTACACAGACAACAACTATTTAAACTGGTTTTTAGGCACAGGTATCGTGCAAACAACCGTGTGAGCATGAAAAAGCCCTATTGTTTTGACATTACAAACAATTTTATTAATTTGTATAGATATGGGTAAATGAGCAGCTGGGTCACCTGATACCTGCAACGTCCTTGTGACAAGTCACAAGTACATTGTCGCCCAAAAGTCTTTTCCCTTAGAATCATGGGTCTGGACTCCGATTACCTCACCCACTCTGTAAAAAGCAAAGAAAGATTCACTTAACACTGGGTTTCTATGAGGCCGTACTATCACTCCGGTCAAGCCTGGCCCATATGTGTCGATGGCTGGTGGCTATCCTACGATAGTAAAATGCATACTTACGGTACGCAGGTATGGTGATTGGTAAAGTGTCTACCTTCTAGGTAACCTTATCATATTTCTAGCAGTTCGTTATTTATTTGATTTATTGCAAAGATATTATTGAGATATTAAGATATTATTTATTTGCAAAGATAATTATTGTGCATATTGACAAAACACAACTTCAACTTAAAAGTTGGTGCTTTTTTATTACTTTTCCGTAGTTATTTAGCAAGTTTCTAACTTTTTTTGATGTTTTAAGGGCCTTTTCCATTACAGCCATAATGTACTTGATGTACACATCAGTACGTATTCTTACGATTGCACTGGTTGCATCATCAATGCATCAAGTTCTGTTTTGTGGAGTCTGCTGGTCTAGTGATTAGTGGTCCTGACTGCTGAGCCAGAGGTTGTGGGTTCGATTCTCACCTAAGACCAATAATTGTGTTGTGAGCAAGATCATTTGTCCTTTTTTTTAAACTTGTGGAAACCCCTTCTGTAAACTACACGGTATGGCATTCTGCGCCAGGAATAGGAGGGATCCTGAAATAACCGCCCGCAGTACAGCGGTCACCACCTTAGGTCACTTTCTCTATTTAGGCAATGTCGGGTACTCGCGGACGTCAGTTAACGTTTCAGTTCAAAAATATAACTTTTATTAGTTTGGAGACTCTGATATATAATAATCTTTTGTTACAGACTCAAAAATGATTCCCCTCGTAGTACTATTGGGGATCGCATCGTCATTCGTCGTTCAAGCCGAGAGCCAAGAATGCACCTCATGTATTCTCCTGAACACAACCTGCTACAATATTTCTTACGTTCTCGATCTCCAAGCAAACTTCAGGAAAAGAGTAGTGATCCCAAAAATGGCCATCTTGCGGTCAAAAAACATACTATTCTACAGCTACGAACCAGTGTTTGAAGACGAAGAGTACTACAAAATTGGTTTTCAAAGTCTTGATAATGAGAGCTCTGTAGGAATTTTAAATATATTCGGCGGTCAGATACTTAATCTTGGTACATTTGATATCGACCAAGACAGCAACTCGATCTACTTCGGTGGAAGCGAAGGCATTTTTGTTCTAGACACTAACTTAAACAAAATGTCTTTTTACAGTAGTCGCGAAGATAGCATCACAAATATATTTTACAAAAACAGAGTGTTCTTCACTAAGAACAACGAAAGAGGTATCGTTTTTAAAAAGGGCAGTGAATTTATAACACTCTATGATAACATATTAGCAAAGAATTTTGTTATTACAAAATATGACGTATTCGTGATTTTACATAATACAGGCTTGTTTGTAGTTAAAGGTGAGGAAAGGCATAAAATATCTGGAAATGCATTTTTTAGAGGGATCACAATGGATTTAGAAGGTACAGTTTATACTTGGTGGATCGATGGGATTTACAAAGTTGTTATCAAAAAGAACTTACGACATTCTAAGGTAGTCAGGGTTGCTGTGTTACCTGATATTGGTGCAATGACCTTTGATAATGATAATAATATACTATTCACGTCGGATAAATCGTTGTATGTTATGAAACAATCAAAAACAGGTTGTAGTGTTGGTGAAGAGTGATATTGTGACAACATTTATTAAGTATTTTGAGTATCATAAATGTACTCTTATTTGTTTATTTTTTTGTAAATGTTACATGTGTATTACATTACATGATTAAATAAAATATATTGATATTTTTCTATTACTCAAGTTTCAGACAAGCATTCGACCTGTTGCATCTTTTAGTAAGCGGTTGTTGATTTTTTAGGAAATACACTTTGGGTGCTCTTCTATGATTAAAATGTTAATTTAAAATGATTTTGTAAACAGCGACATTACCAGAGCTCCATACAAAAAATCCTAATAGACCCTATGTACTGTACTGTATGTTGTTCAAATGTAGTTAACGTGGGAGTTCACATGATAAAACAAATGAATTCATTTGAATTATTTTATGAGCATATCCGTCCGATCTGAATCCGATCCGAATGTGTGAATATACGGTAAGAAGTAGTCGTAGAAGTATTTCTACGGTAGTTTGATGTAGCTTGGTATGGTAGCACCCAGAATTCTTTACTTCTTCTGTGTCGTTCCTACGTATAATGGCATTGCCAGAAGTTGACAAAAAACTTATAAAATATAAACGAATTCAGTCAGTCAGTCAGCCTTCCAAATACGTAATCACGGATCAGAAATCGGAGGTAGTGTGAAAAGCAAGATCTGAATTCAACCCGAGATTTCTAGATCTGTTTACGGATCTCATTTGGATCGGACGTAGTCTGAAACCACTCTAACGCTTTTAAGTTGTCTAGTCTCTTCACAACAAATAGTTCGATTATCGATTATTGAATTTAGCCACTGGGTATGTTATTAAAAATATTACCTGAAATATTAATGCTATGAATACAAAGCTTACTATTTTGGTGCTACATAGAATAAGATTGGTACTCTAAATAGGACCTGGAATTGGACAGTAATTGGATATTTCTTAATCGATACTTCCATACTTAGTATAAAATAAAGTCGTTATTTGTTCTTGTATGCGTAGATCTTAAAACTACCTAACATATTTTCACCAGTTGCGTGATTCAAGAGGCGGGTTTATATGTACATGTATATTATACATATAAACCCGATCAGTAGAGATATAATTTAATATTTTTTATTAAATTTAATGACAATTTATGTATGTAAATGATTCTATCTTTTTCTAAATCTAGTGGAGTTTTAACAAGTATAAAAAGAATTGTACACAAAACAGTTTCAAATACAGGATAGATAAGACTTTTGCCTTATGTAGAGATAAAAAAAACACAAATATCGTGACTGTATCCACCTCGTTTAAGCGATATGTCTGCCCACAATACATTTTCAACTTTAATCTATCAATTTATGTTATCTAAACTCAGACGAGGCTACGGACGCCTATACCGTCACTAACACATTCTGGGTCAATTTCTACAATTGCACTGTGAGGTCAGGACGCGTTACGTTAAGAACTATATAAGGAACAATGCGTCAAGTCATCCAGCTAAACAATTAAAGCTTGTTCTATCAAGGCCAAGGGTGGCTAAATGAATCAACAAACTATTTGTAGTGTCTTATTGGTATTTACACAATTTATTTTGTTCTCTAATTTATGTGATAAATCTAATATTGACACAATTTATTTTGTTCTCTAATTTATGTGATAAACCCGTTAGGTGATAATGGTCGGACCGTGGACACGGCGCTCCATACGCTGGCAAAATGCCCGGTGTGAGTGGAGCAGAGGCGAGAACTCGTGGCGGCCATCGGAGTGGGAGTTCTCTCGCTCGATAACCTGATTACGGCTATCGTGCGGAGCGAGAGTGCGTGGAACTCTGCCGTCTCCTTCTGCGAGCAAGTTATGCTTGCGAAGGAGAGGTTTAGAACTCTCCCGGACAAGTTAGGCCATCTGTCACCCTAGCAGAAGCAGGCCGGGGTGGCGGCGAGCGCGTTGCGAAGTGCGCGCGCCCTTCCGGGAGAATAGGGGGAACACGGGGGTTCCCACAAAGGGGGGGTCGTCTAGACGCCGTAGATGGGCCGAGGTACGTCGGGGCACCAGGGATTTCCTTTCTAGGGTACATCTGGTTCCCCGACTACTGGTACCTGAGACGGCGTGCGGAAGAAATGGGTTATCCGAGGGGAGTAGGTACGAGACTATAATAGTTTCTATCTAGGAAAAGCTCCTAAGGAATAGAAAAATAACTAAAACAACTTGGATAAGTTTGAAAATATGTATTGTTTTAGAAATAAACGCTACTTGTAACGTTGTTTTCAACGTAGAAGAGTTCTTTGGGTTGGCTTTGGCACAAATGAGGCAGCTCGATAGGAAAGATACCAAGGCCTCACATGAAAACCAGGTTGAAGTAATTCTTTCGCCATTTTTCACCGAGTGAGTGAGGTTATCGGATTCCAAAAGCGCTTGATTCTAACGTACTTCTATCTCATTAGTTACAGGTGTCCTTGAAAAAAAAGCCTTGAAGAAAGATCTTTTTTTTCGTGTGGACGACGGTACCCCGCTCGGGCCGTCACCCAACCGGGGTTTGCGGCTGGGTAGTGTGTCGGAATCGTATCAACTAAAACCACACGGTGTGCCACTCTGCGCCTGTGATAGGAGGGAACTGCTGTTATTAAGGCATCCGGACCCAATGTCAGCATTGCGTAGTAGCGTCAAAAGACAAATTTATAGTAAAATAAACCTAAACTATATCATTATACAATAGCAATATTTTAATAAGTTTAGGAATATACGTTATACTAGCAATTTAATGTAATTTACGAACGGCAAATTTAATAAACGTAGAGAGAAATCTATCCTATACTATGATGTCTGACTGTAGAAAAGAATATATCGGCAGTGTATTGTACAGGCAATGCGAAGGTTTAAAGAAAGCAACAGAGCGTTGCAGCTGCCAAGATCGATACGACTTACCGTTGAGCTTCCGCTTGTAAGTTGTTATGACGGCCGCCTTTGCCTCTCTCTGACATATTTCTTGTTAAAATATATATATATATATATATTATATTCCTGCTTTTATTTTAAGTGAGAGTCATTTTTAGACCAGATATGTTTACTCAGCTCGTAATGTTATTCAAATTGCTATTACTTTAACCTCTTCTTCACTTTTGTCATTTGTCTCTTACCATGGCGTCCTTTGTTTTCTCTTATTGCATCATTTGAAAGAAACATTCAAAAGCAGTACATATTTTTAAACTGATAATTTTAACACAGGCAAAGTTAAATCAGTTACTTAAATAAATTGCAAGTTTCCCAAAACGTAAACGTAGCAAGAAATAATAATAACTCTGGTAACCAGACTGCTGATAAACATACTTATATATTTCTAAATACATATGTACATAGATAATAGTCCATTGCTGGACATAAGCCTCTCCTTAGAAATAAGGTTTCAGCCTACTATACCACGCTGGCCAGACGAGTTGGTATAGGGTTTGTGTCAAGTTTTCCTTCTCTTTCCAGTGATGTTGTCCTTCGTAGTTTGCTCCCTTAGTCGGCTCTTACGACACCCGCGGGATGAAAAGGGGTTATTAAACTCCGTATTCTTAATCCGTCACCACACGGACACACTCGGTAGTTTGAGTCAATTGTATTTTATATAGATGGTTACAGTTATGAAATTTACTTTTAAAACTATAATTAAAAACTTTGAGAGGCAACTGTACTTTAAAAAACACACATTTTGCGTCACAAATTTTGAGTTTGAATGAATTGATATATACTTTATAACTTATTATAATTAATAAACTTATGTAGCCGCTTAATAAAGTTCAATCTAACGACAAATCATGCCCCAGAATCTGTTGAACCGTTTAGTATTTACAGGAAAAATATTATGTAAGCCTCCTTTATTTTACTTCGTCGTATTCGGGTAAAAATAGAGCCCAAATATAAAGTGAAGATGGTTTTTCACGGATATTAAAGTTTGTTATATTTTGTTTATAACAGTATCTAATCATCACTGAGGTAGAAATCATCATGAATAATTAAGTCTCGATCTCAGATTAATTTACGTTGCTTCTGTATTGAGAGCTTAAACACGCTATAAACCACTATTATTTGGACTATGAATGGGTGCTTTGATATATTTGGAGTAGCTACTGATATACAGTAAGTGAATTAATATTTTTAGGGGTTCTCTATGTATGTTAGTAAAAAGTTGGACCCTTATAAGATCACCCATGCGCCTTTCTCTCCGGCTGAACAGCCAATTTGCTCCACCTTTCAATAGCGGTGGGCGAGCCTCCGATAGACGTCCGTGACGACACACATTTGTATAAAAAATAAACCGGGGCTTTGGAAAATTTACTGATATTTTCACGTCTTTTTTACTTTTTGCTGCATCGTTTGTCGGCGCGTTAACAGTCTACTGATATTTTAAGATATAAATAAATAAAGGCGCCTGCAATTATATTTTACGGATTAAAATATACGATAGCCTATGTTCTAAACTGGATGTTGCTGCTGCTCTCTGTCTCAAATTTCATTCAGATTCTTTAAACTGATCTGTTAGTTGAACAACATACATCTATTCAAACTTTAGCATTTATAATAATGGTCAAAAGTAATATTGCATTAATTTATAAAAACATAAAGACGTACTAGTTACTTGTAGTATTGAAGTTTTCTGGACGATACCCATATATTAATAAAAACACCAACAAAGAGTTGTAGAATGTCAACATATCATGTGGTTAATCTTGGTTGAAGGTGCTCAATCAACATAATACAAATCGAAAATTTCAACTAAACGGCAGGGCCTCTTGATCTAATATTTTCCTCAAACACAGTGTTCTTTAAATAAATATATCTAACTCAGAACAGCAATTTCTTGTGGGCAGCTATTATCTGGTATTGTCTGTCTGTCTGTTACCTCTTCACGCTTAAACCGCTCAACCGATTTAGATGAAATTTGGGATAGAGATAGTTCGTGTCCCGGCAAAAGGACATAGAATAGTTTTTATCAAAGAAATTGTCCTTTAAGGGGGTGAAAAAAGGGCGCCAAGTTTTTATGGGGAACCAATAACCGCTGAAC